AACCTACTTTTAAGTAAAATCCTGTATTAATAAGAAACATGGAATGTGAATAAAAAAAGATTTTATCAACTGAACTGTATCTAAGTATTTTACAAAATTTTCCATGAGCCATCAGTAAGTCTTTAAAATGCATAATCTTTGAAAAAACTTGCCAGTCATTCATCTGTAAAAATCTAGCTTTTTATGTGCATGCCAAACATAAAACTGCCCCCATGCTAAATTTAACACAAACCTCACATTACAGTTATGTGCTCTTATACTTTGACATGACTATGACAGTCATGAAAATACAGGGTGAAAATACACTTAGAATGGTCTATGTTCTGCAACTCAGGACAATGAAGAAAGCCTGGGAAGGATGTAAAAATTAGGTCCATATTTTAAATCTGCAGCCAATCAAGCCAGGAACCCGGCTATGCAATCACAATCCCTTGCAAAACCATTTAAGCTATTTCTTAGCTGTAACTGTTAGCAGTTTCTTACGACTGTAATCTTTAAAAAAAAAATATCTCCCACTTCAAATATTAAATGCATATGTACATTAATTTTTTCTGTCTACCTACAGTTAGGTGCTAACTGCACCAGGCTAAAATTGTCTTCTTTGCCCTTTACAATTCTGCATTCTCTTAACTTTTGTATACTATGGCTCCGAGTTAATTTCATAGTATTTATCCAAATAACGAGTGGCTAAAATTTTCTCCTTTTTAACTACAATTTGTGAAGTAAAGTTTAGCCAAGAAAACAATGGAGTCACTCTATGACATTTTGTTGTTTACAAAGTAATGTTACCTTTTTAGATGTTATTCAAGGATGATTAATCAAGTTTAGAAAATTAAAGACACTAGACATTATAAACTGATACGTGTAACTCTCAACAGAGCACGTGGAAGAAGACGACGTAAACTGAGTTGCTCAAGGTCAGACAATATGGCGGCGAGGCGGGCAGCTCAGGCGGTCTCCAACTCCTGTCCTCCCCTCAAGTGCCATCCTGAGCGACCCCTGCTCTAAGTTCTGCCTGCAAAACACTACGACACATATTGCCCTCAGGTCAGGAAACACCTGGGGCAGAATTTCAAACTTAAGAAATTGATTAAGTAGAAGAGACTTTAACCTAAAAGCTAGCATACTATGTGAATTTAAATTACTTTTTAGGTAATGGAGTCATCATACTGATCTACTTTTTTTTGTATTTAACGTAGCTAGGAGCTGGCTCCAGAGGACTCAGGGGTTCCACTACATAGAACCCGCTCAGAAGAGAGACAGTTAACTGTCAGAGCTGGACTGCCCTTGCTGTCCGTGGTAATCTGGGCAGGGCCCACTCAGAGAACCTCTGTATCAGCTTTCTCACCTCCACAATATTGGGAAGGGGCCAGGGAGCATTCTTCTTTCAGATTTTGAACTACTGGAGACCAGAGCAAGTCCTAAAGTGCTAACATTTGGTTAAATTTTAAGGATGCTTCAAACAGCTTATCATTTCCAACATTATGTTTAAAGCAAATCTTTTACACATTCTTACACATTTCTCATCAGTGAAACTCACTGGCCTTTTTGTGATATTTCTTCCCCTACTTGCAAAGGAGCTCCAAATCCCTCAGAAAGTTAAAAAAAAAAAAAGCAACAGACGTAAAGATGAGGGTCAAAATACCACTGTTTAGTGATGGAGGCTTCAGGTCATCTATAATGTGCTTTCATGTTAAAACTACCAAATTAACAACTATCTGACTTCCATATTTAAATATGTAATGTTTATGTTCTCTGAAAAAAACCTAATGCCAAAAGTAATCATTCAAATACAAACCATACATATTCTTTGGTCACGTGTAATGCAGAAAAATCTGAGAGATAAGTTTAAGAAAGACATTTTTGGCAAGCCTACACAAAATTATAGAATTTTTATTAAAAAGAAAAGGGGGGTGGGAGAAGGTATGGAAGAAAATTAACATTCATTACGTGCTTACTAAGAAAGAGCTACTGTGCTAAGTACTTTACATAAAGCTGAAACCAAATGAATGTTTCTCACACTCCTTGACCAAATAACTATGTGCTGTTCTTATGTGCCATCCTGAGCGACCCCTGCTCTAAGTTCTGCCTGCAAAACACTACGACACATATTGCCCTCAGGTCAGGAAACACCTGGGGCAGAATTTCAAACTTAAGAAATTGATTAAGTAGAAGAGACTTTAACCTAAAAGCTAGCATACTATGTGAATTTAAATTACTTTTTAGGTAATGGAGTCATCATACTGATCTACTTTTTTTTGTATTTAACGTAGCTAGGAGCTGGCTCCAGAGGACTCAGGGGTTCCACTACATAGAACCCGCTCAGAAGAGAGACAGTTAACTGTCAGAGCTGGACTGCCCTTGCTGTCCGTGGTAATCTGGGCAGGGCCCACTCAGAGAACCTCTGTATCAGCTTTCTCACCTCCACAATATTGGGAAGGGGCCAGGGAGCATTCTTCTTTCAGATTTTGAACTACTGGAGACCAGAGCAAGTCCTAAAGTGCTAACATTTGGTTAAATTTTAAGGATGCTTCAAACAGCTTATCATTTCCAACATTATGTTTAAAGCAAATCTTTTACACATTCTTACACATTTCTCATCAGTGAAACTCACTGGCCTTTTTGTGATATTTCTTCCCCTACTTGCAAAGGAGCTCCAAATCCCTCAGAAAGTTAAAAAAAAAAAAAAAGCAACAGACGTAAAGATGAGGGTCAAAATACCACTGTTTAGTGATGGAGGCTTCAGGTCATCTATAATGTGCTTTCATGTTAAAACTACCAAATTAACAACTATCTGACTTCCATATTTAAATATGTAATGTTTATGTTCTCTAAAAAAAACCTAATGCCAAAAGTAATCATTCAAATACAAACCATACATATTCTTTGGTCACGTGTAATGCAGAAAAATCTGAGAGATAAGAAGTTTAAGAAAGACATTTTTGGCAAGCCTACACAAAATTATAGAATTTTTACTAAAAAGAAAAGGGGGGTGGGAGAAGGTATGGAAGAAAATAAACATTCATTACATGCTTATTAAGAAAGAGCTACTGTGCTAAGTACTTTACATAAAGCTGAAACCAAATGAATGTTTCTCACACTCCTTGACCAAATAACTATGTGCTGTTCTTAGTCACCCAGTCATGTCCAACTCTTTGCAACCCCATGGACTGTAGCCCGCCAGGCTCCTTTCTCCATGGGATTCTTCAGGCAAGAATACTGGAGTGGGTTGCCAAGCCCTCCTCCTGGGGATCTTTCCAATCCAGGGATCAAACCCAGGTCTCCCACACTGCAGGCAGATTCCTTACTATCTAAGCCACCAGGGAAGCCCAACTAAATACAATTCTATATATTCAAACAAAGGAATTAAAAACTCTCTGAGAATCCTGAACTGATTCCATTTTTTATTTGGGCAACATGCTGAGCCTATCACATTCATCATCCTTACATACATAGACAAAAGGCCCAGAGTCATATCGAATTATTTAAATTATTCCCAGAAAATAATTCATGAATACCACTGCCTCACTGAAACAGTTTTTTCAAGAGGCTAGTTTTGATAATCTGAGAATTCAATTCTCATAAGCAGGCTCTGGTAAGAACTGTCACAAATTTCATTATACATCAAAAGATGAGCAGTTACTAATATGAAAGAATACTCTTCATGACCAGAATTTATGTATTTAAGCTAATTCAGGTTCTGAAGGTTATCAGGAAGAGAACTGGGGTTAGAAATGAGAGAGATCCGACTTTACTGGGGACTTCACTTTGCCAGGGTCTTCACTGGTTGGCTGTTTCATCTTACTAATTTACAGTAAAATGGTCACTTCAGTGAAAACAGATGCTTTTGGGGAGCGGTGGGGAGGAAGTAAAAAATGTCTATACTTCCAATGTATAACAGCTTGATCACGTACCTTTGAAAACAGAAATACCTGAAGTGGATTTTTATTTTTATTCTTTTTAAAATTTTTTTGAAGAGCTAATTGGTTTTTTCGATGATTCATGAATCAGGCAGCATACTATCGAGCAACAAGAAGGATGCTCCAAACACTGGGAATCATCTTAGGTGAGCAAAATTTGCCTGCCATCCTAAAATGTTTCTCTGTGACATGTAGATTACTTTGAGCTGAAAACAATCAAGGCCCCAAAGACTCAGGAAGACCCGGTCATCTTCCCATTAACTCCCTTCTCCCACTTCAGTAGAACTGAAGTGGATTTTTAAATGATGATATACTATCATTTGGAATAAAATTGTGAGCAATTTTAATCTTACATTTCTGATATTTCAATTAGTAACTTTAATAAAATACCAAAAATTCTAATGACTCAGCACAATCTGAAAAATGTGTACTACAATGTTAAATGAAAACACACTACAGATTTTTGTCTATATTCTGATTATGTAAAAGTGTCTGTGAAAGTGAAGTCGCTCAGTCGTGTCCGACTCTTTGCGACCCCATTGACTGTAGTCTACCAGGCTCCTCTATCCATGAGATTTTCCAGGTAAGAATACTGGAGTGGGTTGCCATTTCCTTCTCCAGGAGATCTTCCCAACCCAGGGATTGAATCTGGGTCTCCCGCATTGTAGGCAGAGACGCTTTACTGTCTGAGCCACCACGGAAAAGTGTCTGTGTGTGTACCTAAAAAAGTAGAACTGTGAATACAGTTAAATGCTGGGTTATATTGGACTGGTAGATAACTTTCTCTTTCTTGATTCTTTTCTACTGTGATAATGTCACAATAAAAACAACTTTAAGAAAAATCATCATCACTTTATGGATAAAATGGTTTTCTGTCTGCAGTGACTTAACCATGTTAAAGATATGAGTCTCTCTGTCTTCTGTCAGTTGCAGGAAAGCAAGCACAACACTTCCTGCATCCTACAAAACACTTAGCATAGCATCTCAGGCCCAAAAAGACCCAGTAAATTCCCAGTGAGGGACAAGTCATGGAACCACTGATGAACACCAAGTGCAGCTAGTATAAAGGTAGAAACTTACTGTTATTTGTTGGTTCAGGAAACCCAGCCTTTGGACCACTCCATCCTTTGTTTTCCCCTGTCTGAAAAATTAAACCAATTGTTTAAATTCAGGAAAGAAACTTAAATCTTTTTAAAAAAGTTAATCCTAATCAATAAAAAAAGGGTACAGGTTATTCTGTTCATCCTCTCCACTGCAGATCCCAGGACCATGGACACAAGAATTATTAACATGAACTGTAACATCTAACCCTTTTCTACATTCATATGTTTCTTATGCCTCCTGCTTTTATCTATTTAAATTTATAATTTACATCATCAAGAAAGCCCCATAATTAGCATAATATTTAGTATATACATTATGTATAACATGAGCTCTATCAAGGTGGCGAAGAAGTAAATAATTTGTTTTCAAACAGTAAACAATAATCGTCACAAGTGCTAAAGTAAGTAAAAGATTTTTTTATCACTTCTGAAGTTAAATTAATGATAGAAATATTATGTCTGTTCTGGAAAAGTCCTGATAAGGGTCACTGAATACTGCTCATGACAGGTACAAAAAACTGAAAACTAAACCCTAACTCTAAGCAAAATCTGGAATATCCTGGCTTTTGCCAGATGATTTGGTCAACATTTAGTGTAAAATGCATTCTGAGCTCAGACATTCTGAAGTAGTATTTTAATCAAATTACAAGTGACATTAACTAGTTATGTTCTCTTTTTGTGGAGCTGGTGTTATTGATATAAAGTACTCTGGGGTGGGGAGAGACATATTTCTTTTTATAATCAGTATTTTATATTATGCTATCAGATGACAAAGATCAAATGGATAAATTAAATCCATATATAAACACAAACTACATTTCTAGCAAATAGCTTGCAACTGTGAAAGGGTGGAACAGAAAGTAACATGTGTAAATGCAGATACACATGGATGGGAAGGCCTGAGGTGACTCCCACGCACATGTTCTCTGTGAAGCACAAGACAGGATCATAGAGAGGGGGGGTGTGCTGAGGGAGTGAGGTAGGTTATAAATGTAAGGAAAGTGTACACAGTAAGGAAAAAGCCTAGGAAAGAAAGCTAAATGATGAGAAGAATACAGATCCTCAGGCATTTGAGGGCTCAGTTGAAGTTGGTAATAATATATTTAGCACTTCATTCCTCCTTTTCTCTCCTTCCACTAGTAACCAAAGTTATTTAAATATTAGGCTTTATTCCCTAAGCCTAATTTTTCATCAACTGAATCCCAAGCCTGCTGCTCTCTGATTTCTATCTCATCACTCCAATGAAACTGCTTTTCTAAGGTTCCTGTTTTAACATGACAGAGTAAACATTAAGAATAATCTCTCTCCCCAAACAACTCTAAATTGATAATCCAATAATCCATGAACTCTCTCTCCTTCCCTCTGCCCCCAGGCTCCCCTGAATATGAAAGGAATCAACAGAAGAGATAAGTCAAAATTTGTAACATGGAGAGTAGATTAATGATAACTAACTTAGCAGATGTGGGCCAGCTGAAACCTCACCTGCAGAGCTAGAAGCTAACAAAGAGCTTACAAAGAGTAAACGGATTTGTGCTTCAGGACCCCAGAAAGCCTCAGGAATCAGAAGCACACCTGGTACTTCTAAAGATGAATCCTGGAAGAGTATGAAAATAGAAAGATTGTTTGGAAGTCTTTCAAATGTTATGAAACTTCCAGGTCATTTCTGTGACCCCAAGGAGACAAATTTCCTAAAATGTTGCCTCCTCAGAGAGGCCTAAAACAGAGAGACTCTGGACACCAGGTACAGCTGAGGATGGGATGGATCTACACATCACACTGAAAATAGAGATGGATTTCAAAGTTACATCCTAGAAGATAAGATCCCCAGCTCCCTTTATCACTGGGCCTCTAAAGACAATAATCAGTCTTCCCAATCCACAAGGAATGGTGAGCATAACACAGGGAACAGAATAAAACCTCAAAAAAGGGTTAAAAAAAGCACTCAAAGAGACAGAAATATTATACCTATTAAACAAGAACAAGAGGTTATAAAAAGGAATATTCTGAGAATGAAGAATAGCTCTGGGAAATAAAAAATACAGTAGCCAAAGGAAAATATTTCAAAGAAGGACTGGAAGACAAAACTGAAGAAATCTCCAGTAAACAGAACAAAAAGAGAAACAGAAAAGAAACAAAGGAAGAAAGAAGCAAAAAATCACTCTTCAGACTAACAGGTATCCAGAAAGAACCAACATCAAAAATGGAAGGAAAGAAATCATCAGAGAAAAAATATAAAAGTTTCCCCACTTTTAAAGTATACAAATTTCTGAATTAGAGCCCAAACACCCAAAAACAACTTATCAAAAAATACACAAATCCAGTCAATCACTGAAGAAATTTCAGAACTTCTGAGAAAAGATGTGAGAAAAGCATCATGAGGGATAGGAAATGTAAAAGTTTCATAAATTGACTAAAGAATCCAAAGACTTTGGAATTTCAACAGTAATGCTGAGAGGTAGAAAACATTGGTACAATGCCTTCAAAACTGTGGAAAAAATACTTCCTATTTAGAATTATATCTCAGAAAAAACTACCAATTAAGCATGTGTGAAATATAAAGATACAACAGAACTACAGCATCTCAAAAAACTGTATTACTCATGCATTCTCTATCAGGAAACGATGAAAGCATGTACTCCATCAACACAAGAAAATAAATTAAGAACAAGGAAACTGTCCAGAAAGCAGGCAACTCAACAAGAGAGAGGCAAAAGGAATTAAGAAGGAAATAGTGAAGAGAAGAACCAAAACATTGGGTCTTCAGTAGATCTATCAAACAAACAATCCAACATAGAAGAGGAAGATAAAGAATTCCAAGAAAGAAAAAACAAAGAAATTAAACAGTACATGAAGTGTTTACTTGGCAGAGGGTACAGGGAAAGTTAGAGAGAAAAGAAAACTATACATGTTGAGTAAGAGAACTAAATCTTTGGTTTTAAGGCAGGAGCTCAGATAACATCTAAAAAGAAAGAAAATCAAGAAATCATAGTGTAAGTTATTAACAGTACAAAATAACAGAACAACTAAAACAGGTAGTAAGTGGTTGCCTCTGTAAAAAAGGAAACAGAAATGGTCAGTCCCATGGCAGGACAGCATGGTTTTTTATTATAAATCTTGAATCTTTATATCATTAATCTTGAATAAGTCTTGACTTCTTATACATATATGAATATTACTTTGAACAATATATAATAATCAAATATAACAAAGAATGAAGCACATGTCAGTTATATTCTGCATCAGCAGAATAAGCTCCAAGTTGTAACTGAAACCCCATGTAATTGAAAAGAAAAAACAAGATGCAAGATCAGTGTATTTTTTAAAAAGTAAAGAGTGTTCTGCTCTTCCTTAGAATGTAGAAATGTAACAATGACTCAGACAATGTAAGAAATCATAACTTTCCTCAAACCCATCAGAGATCTGAGATTGTAAAGCAAACAAATGACATGAATTCTAGAGTGACAAAGCCCTCTAAGGCAAGGTTCAGCTCACAAAATACTTCAACATTGGCAAAGAAGAAAGAGATGAATATCAAAAATACTGGTAAGAAGAGAGCAGATGAAATGTTAATGAATTCTAAAATACTGTGTGAGGGTCAGCACAGCAATTTAGGAAAATTAGGAACTCCAGAGAGAAGTTCTTTTCTATGGGCTTCCTTTGGGAAGTCAGGACAACTGGAGATACAGCAGAGAACCAAAGAGCCCCACTCAGTGGTGCAGGTGTGAAGCAGAGAGAACAGCACAGAAATCTGCACACTCCTCTGGAGAAGGAAATGGCAACCCACTCCAGTACTCTTGCTTGGAAAATCCCATGGATGGAGAAGTGTGGTAGGCTACAGTCCATGGGGTGGTAAAGAGTCAGACACGACTGAGCGACTTCACTCACTAGACTCTTCTTTTACACAAAGCAAAGAGAACAAGTCACAAGAGAAATGGGAGAAACAAATCCTGTCTGCCTCTGGGATAAGGCAAGAAATTTTGTTGCTCCAAAAGCTCAGGCAAGGACTCACTATTTCTGCAAAAAGATTAGAAGCAAAAGTTACCTGCTCCTAGAAAAAAAAGAAGGGGGTGAAAACCTTCTTGAGAGCAAATCCCTGCACCAATATAAAGCAGATTTCTGAAAATGCTGGGGAAGGGGCTGGAAAACTCTACTGCACCTAAGGCAACCTACAGATCAAAAGAAAAGTTTGGCTATCATGAAGAAGGAGGTAGAAACATTAGGAAAAGCCCACTTCTGAGACTCAGGCACACCGAGTTTGAGAATGAAGCTGTACAAGAAAATCAAGAACTATGTTTCTATACCCAACACAATCCTACAACCTAATAATAAGCAACAGCAATTGACTATGGAGCACAGAGATATCCGTCCCCTCAAGGCATAGCAGAGAGAGGACTGATGAAACCGGAGGATGGAGCAGAAAAACTGAGGAAAATCTTCCCAAAACCTCACCCCACACAAAACGAAGATAATGGCAAACCAAAGCTAAAGGAACCTGAAGTTAACAGTGACTGTGGAAACAAAACACCCAAAATGAGCTTAACTACCAACTAGACTGATGCCACCCTCCATGTTAACACTCTGACAGAAAAAGAGACATGCCTATTTCTTAACATAAGTACTACTTAACTCTGCCTTTCAATACACAACGTCCAGTGTTCATCCAAACATTATAAGACACCCAGAATTGCAAGAAGAAATATGTCAAACGGTAAAGAAGTCAATAAAAGGGAGGCTCAAGTGTGGCAGGCAGCAGCAGCAGCAAGGGTGGCTGGGGGCAGATACACGTATACTTACAGCTGATTCAAGTTGTCGTATAGCAGAAACGAATACAACATTGTAAAGCAATTATCCTCCAATTAAAAATAAATGAAAATTAAAAATAAAAAAAACAAGTCAATAAAACAGAGCCCAGNATAAAGTGAAATTAGTAACAATGAATTATGGGTTTTACATATATAAAGGTAAGTAAAATGTACGACTATATGAGAGGTCAAAGAGAAAAAAGTGGACAATGAATAAATGGAATAAATAGAAACAA